GCAAACACTCTTATTGAGGTTAGGTGTATCATACAATAATTGCTTTTAGTTAGATACATCACAGGAGCTACTCAGGATTCGGCATTCTAGAGGCAAAGGAAGGCTCCAGGCAGCTTGAGTGGGGAAGAAAGAATTGCAGAATATGGCAGGAATGGGGAGGAAGCTCTGGACCTGCAAAGGTCCCTCCTCTCTATCCTTGGAGACATAGATGCACAGGACCCCCTAAAAAGAGCAGGTTATCTTCCTCTCACTCATATGCTGAGGCTAATTGGATCTGAAGATTATACATCATTTCCCCCCACCACGCCCAGGCAAGTGCTGCATGTTGCCCCTGATTAGCTGTATACAAGAATTATTTTATTTTCCCTCCAGAAGCCGTAAAGACCCACCTCTTCAGTAGGGGATTTCCTGCCCTGGTGGGTGAATCTCACAGACTCAGAGACTTTAAGGCCAGAAAAGACCATCATGATCGTCTTGTCTGACCTCCTTCACACTGCAGGCCATAAAACCTCCCCCCAGCCACGCCTGCAATAGGTAACCTCTGACTGAATTACTGAAGTCCTCAAATCTCGTTTGAAAGACTTCACATTATAGAGACTCTCATGGAATCACATTGAGTTCCTGGACAAGAGCTGTATGTTTCCCTCTAGGTGGTGTTTTATGGCTGCCAGATTGTGTGCAAACACCCCCACACACACACTGATACCACTGAAATATACTGCATTATGCCTAAATTTGTCTTTTCCCTCCTTAGCTTCCCAGGCTGCTTCTCCTAATGACCAGAAGGAACAAATACACCAGGTTTCTCCTTTCACCACCAGCAGGTCAACCGTGCAAAATGGAGGGATTGTATCTGTATTAGGTGCAGCAAGGCCTAAGGGAAATGGGGGCATGCCATATATTTGAAATATCATGAAAACTGGCCATTAACATTGGCGGGGGAGGAGAGATGGACACAAATAGCTGGCACAGTCCTGACTCCACTGCAATTTTTCCCCTTCAGAAAACACGCAAGGTGTAGGGCTCTAGTTAAATGGGTGGATTTGGTGGACATGGCAACAGCTGTTGTGTAGCAGACCTGGCGGCGCACCCCCTAATACCACAGCCGA